CAGGACGGGGCAGGGGTGTCGTGATCACAACACGGGCACCTCCCTGCGGGCACAGTGGGCACAGCCCTGGGGACTAAGACCAGGACGGACCAGGGGTGTCGTGATCACAACACGGGCACCTCCCTGCGGGCACAGCGGGCACAGCCCTGGGGACTGTAAGACCAGTGCGGGGCAGGGGTGTCGTGATCATAACATGGGCACCTTTCTGTGGGCACAGCGGGCACAGCCCTGGGGACTGTAAGACCAGGACGGGGCAGGGGTGTCGTGATCACAACACGGGCACCTCCCTGTGGGCACAGCGGGCACAGCCCTGGGGACTAAGACCAGGACGGGGCAGGGGTGTCGTGATCACAACATGGGCACCTTTCTGTGGGCACAGCGGGCACAGCCCTGGGGACTAAGACCAGGACGGACCAGGGGTGTCGTGATCACAACATGGGCACCTTTCTGTGGGCATAGCGGGCACAGCCCTGGACCTAGGGGGGCTCAGACTCCTGCAGAGCTTCAGGGGTTCTGGGTGGCCTGGGCCGACCACGGAGCTGTGACGAGACAGCAGTGAGAAAGGTGGTGGCCAGGGGCCTGGGGTCAGGGGCCTGGGGTCAGGGGCCTGGCAAGGGAAGGGCTCTGGGGTGGGAGGCTACCGTGGGCCTCGCATGCCCAGCTCCGGTGTCCAGGCTGGATGTCTGGGGCAACGGCAGCCCTGGAGGACAGAGCGGCAGGGCAGCAGGTGGCAGTGGGGGAAGCCCCCCACGGCCTGCAGAAGCCTCGGCCCTCCCCTGGCAGCTGTCCACCCCTGCCCAGTTGCCACTGCTCAAGGCCAAGGCCCTCTGGAAAGCACCGGGGCCACAGCACCTCTTTCCTGTGCCCGGGACCCTGGGTGGCCGGAAGAAGTGCATTGTGGACTGGCCTCAGGATTTCCTGCAGTGGCCGTGGGCTGGACGGGGCTTTGTGGAAACCCTCCCCAGGGAGCTCCGTGCTGCCCGGTCAGGGTCGGCCCGGGAGGCGGTGGGAGGGCCCTGCAGGGAGCCGCCGCCATCTGCCTGCTGTGGCTTGGGGACCCTGGAGCCTGTCCCACCCATCTGGCTCTGGGTGCAGTCACCGCCCCCTCCTCCGGCCCCGGGCTGCCCCCGGGCCATGTCCGACTCCGTCACCTCCCACACCCTGGGCTGTCCCCGTGTCTTGGCTGCCTTGGCCTCCTCCTGGCACCTCTGTGGGCTGAGGTGGGTGGCCGTCTCCTGACCCCAGCGGCCATCTCCCC